AAGTACTACAACTACCATCGTAGTATAGAGTTTAAGAGGGGGAAGTAAGTATTAACAACTACTGAGAGTTAAGAGTATACCAAGAGAGAGTGAGTGGAGAATGACCCGGTAGTTTAACGATAAAAGCAGCCTGACATGTAATCGGGAAGATCCAGGTTCGATTCCTGGCTTGGTTAATTTTTCACGGATTTTTTCAAAAGTTGCTCTTTATTCTCAGTGGTTTTTTCCATCATTGATACTTAAAAAAATAGAATCGAACAGATACTAACATTCACCAGCTAACTTGTATTCAAATTCGATGGTTACCCCATCGACTAACTCTCCAAGGGACGATTTGTCCCAAATTGTTAGTGATGATGGAATATTACCATCCACTTGAATTAGAATTATACTAGCAAAAAATGACCGTAATGGCAGGAACGGGTTTAAAAATAATTATAATTATCACGGTCGGAAAATTAATAAATAGTTAAAATTTGAATTTTTATGTATTTTTAAAATAACTTTAAAACGTGCGAAAAAATCATAATAAAACCATGTATATATTTCTTGTGCTTAAAAAACTGCGTCGAATGCATGTTTGAAAATGAAAATCGAACGACGCATTCAAAAGTTATAGTTGTTTAAAAATTCACAAAATTTTGTTTTTCGGTATTTTTTTTTTCAGGTATCTTCAAGATTTCTCAACCAATCAATATAAACCTATACTATTCAAAAGTTATAGTCGTTTAAGAAATACATTTTAAGCTCTTCGAGTGAAAAATGTTGCTTTGAGCTTGAAAAGCTCAAATATTAATCGAAAAACACATTTTAAGGGGGTCTTCTACTCTAGAAATTTCAAAAAATCGAAAAATTTTTTTTTTCATAATTCGATAGTTTATATATTCAAAAATATCTCTCTAAAAGGATTTTTCAAAATTCAAATTATTTCCGAAGTTATAGCCGTTTTAGTGTCGTGGCAACTAGACCGGTTGGGCGGACGACTGGAACAATAGACGACTGGAGGCCCGGGCTACCTGAGTATGAATAACTCTCTCTCTTTTCTTCTTTCTATTATACTTTCAGTACACTAAATCAATCGTTTGAAGGTCATTGTAACGTATTATACAAAAGGGCGCTGGTAAGTTGACTGATAAAAAAATCAACGAGTTGTCTTTGTATTACGGATTAGCTATTCGTCGTCATCCTGACTCCGTCGAGGATATGAAACGTGAAATATGGGCAACTTACTTTCACAAAAGTTCAACTGATAAGAATCCTCAGCACATGAATTGTCCACCTGGACCAGACAGTTGGTGCAAGTGGCAGAAAGCAGCGGCCGAAGGAACTCTGAACGATTTTTCCCACGAGGATCCACCTCTAACTGATAAGGTTTTAAAGGTTTTAAAGCCTATTTACGAAAGCTTATCGGATGATTCTTTATTAGAGCGTTGTTTGGGTAGCGAAACTCAAAATAACAATGAGTCGCTAAATTCTTTGATATGGACATTTGCACCGAAACATATTCATGCCGGATCCCAGACAATCGAAATTGCTGATTATTTAGCTACCTGTATTTTTAATGAAGGCTTTTATCCTATTTTAAATATTATGATACTAATGGGAATGAAAATTGGTCCGGAATCTTATGGGTTTGCTGTCAGGCGCAACGCAGGAAGAATTGAACGGTCTGAGGTTCGAGCTTCAGATGCTTCGAAAGAAGGAAGAACTGCTCGTTATGAGGAGAGAAATGCGGAAAACATTCAATATGAAGTCGAGGAAGGCCCAATGTATGAAGCTGAGATGGCTGATTAAAAGAGTGTAAGTTATACGTACTATACTATCAGTTACGCTGCCTAAAACTTAACGTAAAACTTTAAACGCGTTTTTCTCGAAACTACTTTTTTCGATGCGGTAACCACAATATCTCAAGTTCTAATCAGATGATTTACGTGAAATTTGGCATTAATATTCTTTATATATCTCTCTAACGCATGAACCAACAAAAAATAAAAATTAAAAATTTTTAATATTTTTAAAAAATTCGACAAAGTTGAAAAATTAGTGAAAAAATCGACCTTTATTTTTGAGTAGCCGCCATTTTATGAAAAAAAATTTTTTTTTCAGTTTCGTTGGTTCATGCGATAGCGACATTCATACTAATCAAGAATCCATCATTGTTTTATTTTTCAGATGACCACAAGGGCGAAAATCATGGTGATGAGGACATCGCTTTTTTTTCCCCCCTCTACTTCAAGGATGCATAACTTGATGAAAAAAAATTTTTTTTTTTTGAAATTTATTTTGTGTATTCTTTAAATATAAATAAACACATGATAAAAAAATGGACGGTAAAATTATCAAATGCTTTTTTTTTTATCGACTGCCGAAAAACGCTCGAAATTCGAGCCTCTAGAGTAGAAGACCCCCTTAAGGCGCTTCAAATTCAAACTTAGCGGGAAGTTCTGGGTTGGACTGCGCGGTCAAACGATTTCCAGATTTTTTTATTGTAATTGATTTTTTATAAAAATTTAATAAATTAAAATTTGTCAGCTAACTTCAGTATCATAAATAAAAGATCTATTTCTATTTTATATTTTATTTACCATCAGGATCAATGGCTGGTTTATAAGAAGGGTAGTCGTCTAGTTTTTCAGTGAGCTTCAATGATACAACGACAATTATCAAGACCGCAATTAATGTTATAAAACTAAATAGAGCAGTACATCTCCAAGTCCACAATAATTTTCTTACTATTTTGAAGAAATAAAAAAATAAATTAGTAATTTAATTAAAAAAATTTTTTTTAGTTAAATACCTATCAAATTTTCTTGCTGTACAGGAATTATCGGAAGTGTACTTCCATCTGTAGTCAAAATATTAGCATCCGAAGTTTGGTTGTTAATAAAATCTTTCGGCTGACCATTACCATCACCAGAATTAGTATATAAAAATTGTTTGATAGTAACAGGACCTTTATAAAGCGTAGTGTTACCCACTCGAACATTACTGGAGCCTTTAATACAAATATCACCAAAAGCCGTAGTGTCCAAAGTAGGTAACACATGACCGGTTATCGTTTCATGCTGGATTTTTTGCATCTGGGCTCCTTTGAGATCCGCCCAGCCTCCCATTTCGCCGATAGCTTTCTCAGCTTCTTCGACATCGTCTTCTTCCTTATCCTGATCTCCACTCTCTTCATAGTCTTCATCATCATAAAAAATCCGATCGTCATACTTGTCGATATTGATCGCATGATCGTTATTAAAACTAGACTGATTTGAAGATTTATCATTATCATTATCATTATCATTATCATTATCATTAGAATCACTGTAATTGCTATTTAAACTAGACTCATTGGAAGACTCGCCAGTGCTAGAACAACGATAAGATGGCCGCGTTGTTTCAATATTTAAATTTATATTATTATCATCACCATTCTCGACATCAATGTCAAGGTCATTGTCTTCAATAACAACAACGCTCTCACTCCTGATGTTAAATTTGTCATTATTCCCACAGCGCCGCTCGTTTTCCTTCACATTGTTGTTATTTTGATTCTGATTATCAATCCATCCGATCTGTTGATCGTTATTCCTTCTAAACTCTTCTGGCTGTCGTGTTACCATCACATATATTCATAATTTTTTTTATTTATTTTTAAAACTACGTCCAAGTAATCCATTCGCTGGTTTTATTATCAATCACTGTTGACAAAAATTAATATAATTACAATCATGGGATTAAACACTTATTGTTACTAAATATGATACTGAAGTTAGCTGATAACTGTCAATCTTTTTTTTTTATATAATTTTATAATAAATAGAATTGCAATTAAAAAAACGCTTCTACAAATTTTCTCAAATAATTATTTTTAATTTTTACATATGGAATTTTTTTTATTATAATTTTATTATTATAAACTTCTAAAAAAATTTTTAATGACTATCAACTTCAGTGTCATTATTAAAAATTAATAAATCTTTTATGACTTGAAGCATATTTGATGACGTATGAATTATTTTTCCTCAGAGCGCACTATCATTTTTTTACTCTCTACAATTAAATACTACGGATATTGATTCTAATAGTTGATAACACTATCAATAACTAATTATTTAATCCATAAGTGTACTTACACGTCTATCTATTCCATTATTGTGCTGAAATAAAAAACAATTATATTTTAAAAATGAATAAAAAGACTAAGTATATTTTTAAATATTGTGATGGCTAATCGCTGGACACTAGTGTATTGTGCTGCCTCCTCTTCTTTATTTTTTGTGTTTGTGTTTTTGTATACACATATATGTTTACATATTTTTTTTTTCTTCCACACTAACTGCACTAACACTTGCATGACATATTTATTTATTGCGTTGTCGCATTTACGCTCCTCCGCTCTTCTGATAACGAATGAGATACTAAACTTTATCAGTATTTTAATATTTCATGAGTTTAAAAAGTAATTACTCAAGATATAATTCTAAATATTTTTGTTTTTAAATTTAACAATCGAGTTTGTATAGTTTCGATTGTATTCAATCTCGGAAGTTCGTTGGCGGCTGCCGGTCTTTTTTTTTACGAAAATTATAAAAACGTATTATTATTATTATAAAAAATTAAATTTATGATTTGGTAAGTATAAGGAATTATTAATAATAGTAATCAATAATTAATTATTAAAATTTTTTTAGTATTTATAAAATGTTTTATTGATTTAAAAATTTGTGCTTTCAGGTTATGTTTTCTGTCAACTAAAAAATTCATTTTTGAGATAAAATAAAAAAGGTAAATTAATTGTTTAACATTTATTATTGTACATATATAAAAAAAGAATTAATATATTTTTATTCATGATACTGAAGTTAGCTGACAGCTGTCAATTTTTTTAATTTTTATAAAAATCAATTGGAATAAAAAAAAATGCTTTAAAAAATTTCCATTAAAAATTTTTTTAATTTTCATATGTGGAATTTTTATATTAAATTTTTTTCAGAATAATTTCACTGCTATAAAATTATAAAAAAATTTTCTAATGTAAGTCAACTTCAGTGTCTTTAATAAATAACCTACTTTATTTAAAATATTATTATTAGTATTGAAAAAAATTCACAAAAATAAACGGATTAAGGGCCAGTTTTTCAATCCGAGATAAAATTTTATCCAGGATAAAATTATTATGACCAGTATATCTATAAACATGAAATATATAGATATATTAGCATCGGATAAAATTTCATCTTGGATTGAAAAACTGGCCCTAAGTTTTTAAAAATTTTTTTATTATTCATTAAGGAATATTAATTTGATTTAAAATAGATAGATGAAAAATTTTATTGACTCTAGAATCTAAGCTCCTTCAGAGCCATCAGTATTTAATACATTGGTTTACATTAGTTTGCTTTTGTATATAATACAACTCAGTACAAAATAGAAAATAATATTTTAAATTTTCAATTTAAAAATTAAAAATTTTTAATTTTAAATGAGATCAAAATAAAACATTGCAATTACTAATTATCATATTAGAAAAAGTGACTGAAGCACGCATTTTTAAATTCAACTAAATTATCCACAACCACTTTATTTACAGAATAAAGATGTCCAGAGCCAGGAGGTTATCTATTCGTGGAGTAAGAAACTTCGGCGATGAAACTGAACAAATTATCAGGTTTACTCGCCCGTTGACGTTAATTATCGGGCAAAATGGTGTCGGCAAGACGACAGTCATTGAAGCCTTACGTTACGCTACTACTGGTGAATTTCCCCCAGGATCAGAGCGTGGAAAAGGATTTATTCATGATCCTCGTCTAAAGAAATCTGTCGTAAGTTTTTTTTTTAATTAAATAAAAGTTTTTATTAATTAGATAATATTAATTTTTCTAAGGCTCAAGTACGAGGAGTTGTCAAAGCAGAGTTTATTGACAAAAATAATGAGATAGTAACAGTCCGTCGAACAATAGAGTCATCAAAAAAAGTTAACACTCTGACTTTCAAAACTGTCGAAAATACTATTTCAAAAATAGACAAGCTGTCTGGTGAAGAGTTTCAAATAAACCAACGGTGTGCAGATATCGACAAAGAAATCACTTCTTCGTTGGGTTTAACCCCTGCAATATTGAACAACGTGATTTTTTGCCACCAAGATGACTCAAACTGGCCTATGGATGATTGCAAGAAACTTAAAGACCGGTTTGATGAGATTTTCGACACTACTCAGTACAACAAAGCCATCGAGTTGCTGCGTAAGACTATCAAGCTCAAGACAGCTGAGGTGAAAGAGTTTCAATTGGAACTGAACGCTTTGTCGATCCTGGTCTCAGAGGTCACTCTCAAGGAAACTAAACTTCAAGAATACACAGATCGTAGGTCTCAAGCAACGGAAAATATTGAAAAGCTGATTTGTCGTCTTGAGCCAGTGAGACAGGAAATTTCTCAGAAAAAAAGTGATGAGGTACGGTATGCCACTCTGACAAATGATAAAGAAAAAAAAGATGTTGAGTTAAATTTAGCCAAACAGAAATACGCGTCTTTGAAACAATCTATTAAAGATTTGTTCTCTGGGTCCAATGAAGAGCTAGAGGCTATTGTTCAGTCCTACGATGAAGGCTTTGAAGAAAAAAATTCTAAAATTACTAAAATAGAATCTACAATTCAAGATTTGACGCAAAATGAGTCTAAAATTTACAATTCCTGTGCAGACCAAAAAGTAAATGTTGGAATTTTACGCCAACAATTACAGGATCAAGCTCGGAAGATCAAAGACCGTAATTTGACCCTGAATGAAATTCTTCGCTCTCAGAATTTAGAAAAAATTGATGATAAAACTTCTGAAGAGATCATCCAGAACTCTGTAGAAGAAGTTATTTCCAAGTTACACAAATTGGAGGAAGATGTTAATGAAATGCGTCAAAAACACGATAAAAAAGAAGCTGAATTGGACAAGTCAGTTAATCTTTCGAGGAATGAGCGAGCAAAAATTGATTTTGAGCTTAAACAGAGTCAAAAAGAAATAACTGAGCTTCGGGAGCAAATAAAAGTCGCAAGAGCAAGAATTGCCAAGGGCGAGGATGACTTACAAAAGCTAGAAGCTGTCAACGCTAAGTTGGAGAGAGTCAGTAAACAGGTGGACGAAATTTCTTTAGCTGTCAAACAAGGGAATTTCTCGCAAAAAATCGTGGCTAAAGAAAGAGAGCTTGAGAAACAAGAGCTAGAGTCGGCGAAAATAGATATTTTGTTGTCGAAGATGCAGGATGCTAGTTCTCTAAAAGTAAAATTCGAAAATTTGACAACAGAAATAAATGTCAAGTGGAGAGAAATTGATGAGCTGAAGAAGAAACACGGTGATAGTATTAAAAAATTACTGGGAGTTAATGAAGTTCCTTCTTCACAGTTGAAAGATCGAGTGAACAGAGTTCATCAGACGCTAAATGAGCGACTTGTTAAATTGAAACAAGAAATAGCTAGTGAGCAAAGCAAAGCAACAACCCTTGAAACGACAATAAACCATGCGAAGAAAGAATTCAATGCTAAGATTGGAGAAAATCAAAGAGACAAAGAAAGAATTATGACGCACTGTCCTGATTATAATAATTTTGAAGAGCATTTACTGCTTGTTAGTAACGAAGTCAAGAAATTGCAGAATAAGCGCGGAATGTATGCGTACCAGGGAGTTGCTTACGCGACGTATGTAGAAAAACTTTCGAGTGAGGATCCTTGCTGTCCTTTGTGTGACCGCGGGTTCGAACAACAAGAAGGAGCACTGAAAGTGATCGAGAATCTTAACCAAGATCTGAAGAACCACCCAAAGCGTCTGAAGTCTTGTGAGGATGAGCTTAACTCTTTGCGCACAAAGCATGATACTTTGTTGTCTCTAAAGACTACGGTTGAAAAAGTCATCAAGTTTGATAAAGAAGAAAGAGAGAAGATGAGTTCCAATATCGCGGCAATTCAGAAACAATTGGAGGCTAAGAACAGCAGGATAACTGAGCTGCAGTTACTGACAGGGGAGCCGGAGAAGAAAATATTGATGTGTAATAATTTGTCCGGGGACCTTGCACTTTGGGACAAGTGTCTGGTTGAAGTAGAGAAGCTTCAGGATACTCATGAAGAAGTACAGGTTCAAGTTATTGAGTTGGGGCTTCCGGATAAGACGATAGAAGAAGTAAGAAGTGAAAATGAGGCTTGCAAGCAGAAGATTAAAAAGCTGAGGGATGAAATAGGTCTTTTGAGAGAGCAGTCAGATAAAATGAACAATAATCTACGCGAGGCTACCAATGCAAGGTCTTCTTGTCTGGAGGAGCAACTCCAGGTTCTCAATGAGGTCCAGGAGGTGAAGCAGCTCCAGGAGAACTTGAACAAGTGGGTGGAGCGAGAGAGTTGCTTGAGGGAGAATCTTCAGAAGCTTGGCAAGCAACTTGTAGAGGCTGATGGCAAGTTAGACGAGGTAGTGCGCCTAGCGGAGGAAGTTAAGGTTCAAAATCGAGAGCAGCAAGATAGAGCTCGTAAGAGGCTACAAGAATTTACAAAGCAGGTGGACAAATTGATGAATTTGCAGACGGATGTGAGTAACTTGTTGGCTAAAAAAATAGGCGCCAAGTTGAAGAATTTAGAAGAAGAGATGCGTGATAATGAGAAGCTGCTTGCGGATATCAAAGAGGAAGTTACGGGGTTAGAGGAGAAATTAGTTGGGCTAAAAGAGGATATTTCTTGTCATGAAATGAAGAGACGGAATTTGCAGGACAACCGAGAGCTGAGAACCTGCGAAAAGTCTATTAGACTGTTGTCGCAAGAAAAGGACAATTTGAAAAGTGAAATCCAGGGGATAAATATTGAAAAGGTTCGACAGGATCTTCAATCGCTTCAGCAGAGAGTCGTAAATTTGGAAAAAGAGATCAATATTGCGAGAGGAACTCAGCAAGAATTGAATCTGAACATCGAGCATCTGAACAGTGAGCTTCAGAAGGAAGAGTACTACACTGCTAAGATGAATTACAAGCGTAAGTGGCTGGAAAAGTCCATCACTGAGGACGCGCTGAAAGATATGGGTGTTTACTGCACTGTTTTGGACGCTGCGATGTCCAAGTACCACGAAGATAGAATGACCAGTGTCAACAAGTCGATGAGAAATTTATGGAACCACATTTACAACGGCTCAGACACTTCATCTATTCAAATTAGAACTGAAGCGGCGAACACCGCTGGAGCCTCGAATAGGCGCAGCTTTAATTACAGGTTGGTGCAGATAAAACATGGAGAAGAGATCGAAATGCGAGGTCGTTGCAGCGCTGGTCAGAGAGTCTTGGCTTCCATTGTCATCCGTCTGGCTTTGGCGGAGACCTTCTGTGACCAGTGCAGCATGCTCGCGCTGGACGAACCGACCACTAACTTGGATGAAGGTAATTCAGCGAGTCTCGCTGAAACTCTGTTTAACTACGTCATGCTCCGCTCCAAGTACCAGAAGTCGTTTCAGCTTATCATCATTACTCACGATGAACATTTCATTAAAAAATTGAGCCAGCTTAATACTTCCTCTGGGTTCTATCACCTGTATAGAAATGATAAGGGTTTAACGCAGATTCAGTACTTAGTTTTTGATAAGGAAGAGGCTGCTGAGCAAGATACTGCACCTGATGACGGCCAAAGCGATGATGAGCAGAAAAAAGCTGCAAAGAAAAATACTTCCGTGCAGACCAAAAAACGCCAGGCTCCTACGAGTAACTTCCCCGGTGCTTCGAAAAAACCTTATGAGTTTTCTTTGTAAGCTTAGAGTATTTTTCACTTGAATATATTTTTTTACTTGTTGATAAGGTTAAGCCAATGCTATTTATTTATTAAATTATGAGGCTTTAATAATTAATAAATGTTAATTGAATTAATCAATACTCTTTTTGAATGAAATAAATAATTTAATTACAAAGTGGAAGTTTATTTATTTATTTTTTTTTTTTTTTTTTATATGAAACTGGAGTTATTTGACAACTGTCAGTTTTTTAATTTTTATAACAAATCAATAACAATAAAAAAATGCTTGTAAAAATTTTTACTTATAATCTATATTATTAAGAGAATAAGAAAAATTATATGACGAGGATAGTCATATGATAAAATCAGTTTTTTTAGTGAATTTTAGTGTCATTGAAAAGGTCTTGACTTGAATTTGTGCCTTTTGAAGGTTTCATTTCATTCTCAACGATAGTCAATTTATTGTGATAAGTATTTAGGCTGCATTCAAAAATGCTCTAACTCTAAATACATAGTTAAGAAATGACCTTTTATCTTGTAAAATTTTGACATTTTTAAAGATATATAAGTTCATCCCGATGTTACATTCATGAAGACCTTTCATTTGAGTACCCACATCAATTTTTTATATATTTTATATATATATATATATATGAAAAATATATCAAAATGCATGTGGGTACTCAAATAAAAGCTCTTGAAGAGTGTATCATCGAGATGAGCTTATATCTTTATAAATGTAAAAAATTTGGAAAATCCAAAAGTGCACGCCTCATAACACTCATTCATTTTTTAAGAAAAAATAAATTGTGTCATTGATTAAAAAAGAAAAAAAAATTATGATTAAGTAATTTCTT